GAAAAAAAAGAAAAAAAAGAAAAAAAAAGAAAGGTTCCTGGGTTCCACCCCTATTTCTCATTCAGTAGGTCTGAAGTTCAACAAAACACTGCTTTTTTTTTTTTTTTTTTGCGGCTGGCACAAGGATTGAACCCTGGACCTTGGTGTTATTAGCACCATACTCTAACCAACTGAGCAGACCCGCCAGCCCCAAAACTGTGTTAACAAGTATTCCTGGAAATGCTCCCATGCAACCGGATTTGGTAACCATGGCTCTGGACCCCAATTCCAAAACAGTTCCCTTGGTTCCTACCTTGAGGGGAAGGGAAAAGAACTCCCCCAAGCGGTGAGCAGAAGGCAGCGAAGGCAGCGGGCTATTACTCTCCGTCCCCCACATTACATTTACTTTATTTATCAAACATTTTATAAGCTGTTTATCATTATTCTAAGCACTTTACAAATGTGAAGACCATAACATCCCCGTGAAGTAGGTATGAGCACTGTGCAGGTGAGGAAACTGAGGCCCAGACTGGTTCAGGAACCAGCCCGAGGAGACGCGTCCAGCAGACAGCAGGACGCCGGCCCGGCGGGCCCCAGAGCTCGCGCCCTTACCCACCACGACCCACGGCTCCCCCTCCGGTTGTCTTTGAAGCCCCTTCTCGCACGGGTGACCCCACAGCCCCGGGCCCCACGGGGCTCCCCCAACTCCCGTCCCCTCCATGACGACTCTGAGACCCCTCTTCCCCCGCCTCCTGCGGGAGGCTCTGCCCGGGCGGCGGCACCTCTCGGTCCCCGCGGTAACTCTTGCGCATCGGCCCCAGGTCCATGACAGCACCGCGACCTATGCACAGGTGGCGGAGGAAGCCCGGCCACACGGCAGGTCTCCCGAACGTCACGGTGACGCCCCGCAGCCCGCACGTCATGAGGGCCGCCGGCCACGTGACCCGGCGTCGCCGGGCGCTGGGTTCCGCTGGATTCGGAACCGATTTCCCAGCCCGAGCGTCTGCCGGGGGAAGGAAGGATTTGCCAGTCGCCCAGCCAAGCTAACAGGTCCCAAGTCCCTGGAGCCAATGGGAGTCCCGGATCGGAGGAGGGAGACAGACGCGGAGAGGTGATTGGTTGGAGTTTTCCGAGAGCGAGGCCAATTAGAGCGAGAAGAGAGGAACCCGGCGGCCAATGGGCAGCGCCTCCGGGGGCGGGAGCAGAGACGCTAGGAAATGCTGTCACCGCCGTTAGCACGCACGTGGAGCTTTCTTAAAGGTATAGGGACGGCTGCAGCCCAGGCGGGGGCGGGGGATGAGCCCCTGGGAGCTTGAGGGGAGTGGTCAGTATTAAGTAGCTGGGCCATAGTAGGTCCCTGAAGGCGAGCTTAGGGCAGGAAGTATTCCCTGGGAGGGGAGGCAGGTGGACTAGGAAAGGAAAATGGAAAGTGGAATTGGGGGCCAGACTCTGAGCAAGGTGATGCGGACCAACAGAGAAAGAGGAGATCAGGTTGGGGGAGGAAACTGGGGCTTGAGAGTGGGAGAGGTTGAAGTGACTTGTGGACCTCAAGAGATAGGTGCTGTGCAGTAGGGGTAAGAGGTGGTACCCTGGGGACTGGGGGGGCGCGGTGGGGTCAGGAAGAGCCTGTGGGTGAGAAGGAAGATGGCTGAATGGGAAGGGGAAGAGGGAAAATTTGGATCAAGACATCCCAAACCAGAGCGATTTTCCTCGTCTAGCTCTGAATCACCTAATGGGGTTCAGAGCATACTGCTCCCTTTACTCATGGTTTCATCTGTCATGGTGCACCGAAATTCACACTAACCAATGTTCTGGTAGATGGAAAGGCTGTCACTGCCCCGTCACTCCTAGGCCTCCCCCATCTTTGCCAAGTTTCCCCCCTTTCACATTTTGCCTTTCCTAGGTAGTAGGAGTCTAGGCCCTAGGTCAATGCCAGCAATAGCTGACAGAGTACAGGGGAGCAGGTGGCTGTGCAAAGCCACTTCCAGGCTATGGATGCAGGGCTGAGAAATGGGAAACCTGCCAGTGCCCACTCCAGCTTTGACCCAGTTGGAGCAGCCTTGGTTTGAGGCCTGTTCTCAGCCTTGGTTTCCACCAACATCAGGAAGGGGAGCTGCAAGAGCCATCTAGGCAGGCACCCAGGACTGCGCCAGGTAAGGGGAACTTCCTGGCTTGCCCAGGTGTCTGCATTACGGCTGAGCTTCATAAAGCCCTACGATAGATACCAATTATCCTTTTTTATGTGTGCATAGCTTGAGCCAGGTAGAATTTGGAAGACAAATTTGCTGCAAAGAAATAATGCCTGTCTCAAGAATTAATTATATTGATCTGTGGATTCTCCACTGGTTGGAATTTTTTGTGCCACCATCATTTTGATTGAGAGAGAGTTGACTGGACTTACTTTCTTGTTGAGGTCGTCTTTCCACATAAGAACATTGCTGTACTCCACTCATCCCACGTCACTGCAGTTGAATCTGGTAAGCAGAAATTAGTGCCCTTCAAATCAGATGGTTTGTTCATGAGTACACTCTTAGCACTCCTGGGCTACTGCTACCCTGGACCTGGATTCTAGGACACCAAGACTAGGATCATTTGAGTCATTTGGTTAAAAGCTAAGAGCTCACAATAGTGGGGTAGATATATACTCATGTATTCATTCAGTAGACTTTTGTTAAAGACCTCCTTTGGACCAGGCACTGAGCTAGGTCTGACAACACTAAGGGGCTGGCTGGTTAGCTCAGTTGATTAGAGTGCAGTGTTATAACACCAGGGTCAAGGGTTTGGATCCCCTTATGGGCCAACCACAAAAAAAAAAAAAAAAAAAAAGAATACCGAGATGACACTGTTCCTGCCCACAAAGGGCTTGTGATCTATACAGGGAGGCAGATTTGTGAACTAAAGAGTTGCAGGTACTTTAACATGTTTCTAAGGTGAACGGGAAGAAAAAGAAGGGTTTAAACAGTCAGGAAAGGCTTTGGAAAGGGAATGGACATTTGATTTGTCCTAAAGAGTAAGTGTTTGCCAGATAGCCAATGCAACCAGCATTCCAGGAAGAGGGAACATCATGACTAAAGGCAGAGTGCATTTGAGTAGCAAAGTGGAGAGAAAACAGACCGGACAAGCAGGAGGGGCTGGGTGCTCCTTGCTG